AAAAAAAAAAAAAAAAAAAAAAAAAAAAAGTTCATTTCCAGCCAGGTGCAGTGGCTCACACCTGTAATTCTAGCTCTTTGGGAGGCCTAAGTAGGTGAATCACATGAGGTCAGGAGTTCAAGACCATCCTGGCCAACATGGTAAAACCCCATCTCTACTAAAAATACAAAAAATTAAGCCAGGCGCAGTGGCTCATGCCTGGAATGCCAGCACTGTGGGAGGCTGAGGCGGGCAGATCATGAGGTCAGGAGATCGAGACCATCCTGGCCAACATGGCGAAACCCCGTCTCTACTAAAATACAAAAAATTAGGCATTATGGCGCGCACCTGTAATCCCAGCTACTCAGGAGACTGAGGCAGGGGAATTGCTTGAATCCGGGAGGTGTAGGTTGCAGTGAGCTGAGATCGAGCCACTGAAAAAATTAGCTGAGCGTGGTGGCAGGCACCTGTAATCCCAGCTACTCAGGAGGCTGAGGCAGAAGAATTGCTTGAACCTGGGAGGCGGAGGTTGCAGTGAGCTGAGATCGTGCCATTGCACTCTAGCCTGGGCAACAGGAGCAAAACTGCGTCTCAAAAAAAAAAAAAAAAAAGCTGGGTGCAGTGGTTCACACCTGTAATCCCAGCACTTTAGGAGGCTTAAGCAGGTGGATCACCTTAAGTCAGGAGTTCGAGACCAGCCTGGCCAACCTGGTGAAACCCCCTTTCTACTAAAAATACAAAAAATTAGCTGGGCATGGTGGTGGGCACCTGTAATTCCAGCTAATTGGGAGGCTGAGGCAGGAGAATTGTTTGAACCTGGGAGGTGGAGGTTGCAGTGAACCGGGATCGTGTCATTGCACTCCAGCCTGGGCAACAAGAGTGAAACTCAATTATCAAAGGAAAAAAAAAAAAGCTCACTTATAAAGAATTTTTCACACTGGAGATTACAAGTTTGCTTTTTTTTTTTTTTTTTTTTTTTTTGAGACAAAGTCTTACTCTGGTCCCCCAGGCTGCCAGGCTGGAGTGCAATGGCGTGATCTCGGCTCATTGCAACCTCCGCCTCCCAGGTTCAAGCGATTCTCCTGCCTCAGCCTACTGGGTAGCTGTGATTACAGGTGCCTGGAAGCATCCCCAGCTAATTTTTCTATTTTTACTAAAGATGGGGTTTCACTATGTTGGCTAGGCTGGTCTCGAACTCTTGACCTCAGGTGATTGGCCCGCCTTGGCCTCCCAAAGTGCTGGGATTACAGGTGTGAGCTACCTCACCTGGCCAGAAGGTTGCTTTTAAGTGTTAGAAAGATGCTAAGGTGTTTGGTTTGCTCTTGTTGCTAATACAGGAAGAGCTGAGGAACACAGGCTTATGAAAAAGGAATATGGCAGTTAAGGAAAGCAGCCTCAGAGGCTGCTAAGTAAACAGTCATCTCTGGCTCTGAAAGTTTCTTGCTTTTCTTTTTGTTTAACTTTTCAGCAACAAGAAAAGTTCCAGTAGTGTTTAATAGAAAGACTTCTTTATCGCAAATGGCCAGACCTGCTGGTGTATAGACCTAACAAGCCTGCCCATGTCAAGACTGTAAGGTTTCTATCTGAGCCTAGGGAGGACAGGGAGATCATCCAGGGTCCTGTGGTCAGGGCCATTGGAGAAAGCCACTAAATGTCAGTAGGCCATCTGTCCAGAACAGTGATGCTCAAACTTCTGCAAACATTAGAATTGCTTGAGACCTTATTAATGCATATTGCTGGACCCCAACCCCAAATTTTCTGATTCAGTGGATCTGGGGTAGGCCCAATAATTTGTCTTCCTTAATTTGCCAGGTGAGGATGATGCTGGTTTGGGGCCCATCTTTTGAGAACCTTTGGAGCAAACAGCTGGGAGCTGTGGTGCCTGTAGCGTGGCTCGTGCCCAGCTGTGTCCACCAGCCCCCTCCCTCCTATCACCTCAGCTGGACAAAAGTACACTGCTAGGCCGGGCGCTGTGGCTCATGGCTATAATCCCAACACTTTGGGAGGCTGAGGCGAGTGGGTCACAAGGTCAAAAGATCGAGACCATCCTGGCCAACATGGTGAAACCCTGTCTCTACTAAAAATACAAAAATTAACTGGGTGTGGTGGCATGCGCCTGTAATCCCAGCTACTCGGGAAGCTGAGGCAGGAGAATCGCTTGAACCCGGAGGCAGAGGTTGCAGTGAGCGGAGATCACACCACTGCACTCCAGCCTGGCAACAGACCAAGACTCCGTCACAAAATAAATAAATAAATCCACTGCTAGCATTGGGCTTTGAGGAAGAACACCTACAGCTGGGTTCCCCGACCGCATTCCTGAGGAAGGTTTCTGATTTGAAATGGTTCTTCCTCTCAAAGGGCCCTGCTGCCCACTGGTTCTGACTTCTTCCCTGGCTATGCCCTGAAACTGTGGGACAGCAGTGGGACAGCCCTACCACACAAGCCAGCTGAAGCCCAGTGTCCCCCAGGAAGGCTCCAACATACCAGCTTCCAGGGGAAAGCAGTTCTACTTTTTGCCATCTCCACCTCTCCCCGGATGATGGGCAGCTTTTTTCCAGGGGGAAAAATCCTCCACTGGAGAGCCAGGCTGAGGCGCCACGGGGATTTGGAGTCGAGAGTAGAGACTCCCCCTCTGGAGTCCTCCCCCTCCCACCACCAAAGTCAGCTTCCTTTATTCTTTGGCAGTGCATGTGGACAAATATTTAAAAGCCGCAGAAAAAGAACCGAATCCCTGGCCTGCGGAGCTGGCTCTCGGGGCAGTGGCACCTCCGCCCCCGTGTTGATTACCTTCAGCTGCTGATTCGTCCGCTTTAGGAACTGGATCTCCTCATTGTGCTTCTTCTCCTCCACCTGTCGCCTCTCGCTTTCCCGCTTCTCGGTGGCTTCACATTTTGCCTTCTGCTCGTTCACTTGCCTCTCCAGGTCTCTCTTTTCTGTCTCCAATTCTGCAATCTAAGGACAGAATGCCCAGTCATCCTGGGATGTGGCCAGGTGGACGGAAAGGTCTGAGAGCCTGGATGGAAGGGACATGGGACACAAGGAATTGCCAGGGTATGTACTGCCACCCAGTGGGAGGTCAGTGCCTGGCATGGAGCGTCCACAGCAGAGACAACTCTCCCAATACCAGGCTGGCCATCAAACTCAGCCAGGGGTCCCTTACTGAGGTGATGCAGGTCCAGGGGTCTTGAATTTCAGGAGAGCAGCTTAGGAGGCCAGCAGGTAGTGCTGGAATGACAAGCACATGGCCCTGAGGTTTACAGAAGAGTCAGGGGCCCAAGGGTCCTGGCAATCCCCACTCACTTTCCTCTCCATGTCTGCCTTCCCCTGCTCAGCCTGCAGTGCTTTCCTCATGCCAAACGCCACGCTGCTCTCGTACAAGGTCTGGTAGGCAGCGATGGTCATGCGGATCTCGTCCCGGACGCGCAGCAGCAGCAGTCCCCTCTCCGCACAGTTGATGGTGACCTCCCGGATCAACTCATCTTCCAATGCACACACACCACGAGATCAGACAGGGTGCGGGGAGAGAACCTCGCTATTTCTATTGCAAATACTCTTCCTCTGGGGAAGGGTATTAGGGTGTTCTCGCTCAGAGACAAAGTACAAGACCTCAGAGAAGGATCTCAGAGAGGGTCCCTTCAGTGGCCCAAAGAACCTTGCCATGCAAGGTTCACTCCTCTGCACTTGGCACTTGGGAGTAGCACAGTCAGCTAGCCTGGGTCGGCCAGGGCAGAGGGAGACAAGACGCTCTGGTGTGTTTACAGCCCCGGACCCCCTCCCTTCTGGCCTTAGGTAAAAACTGGCTACTATTAGAAAAACAAAAAAACTGCCTTTGGCCAGGCGCAGTGGCTCATGCCTATAATCCCACCACTTTGGGAGGCAGAGGTGGGTGCATCATGAGGTAAAGAGATCAAGGCCATCCTGGCCAACATGGTGAAACCCCGTCTCTATTAAAAATACAAAAATTTGCCAGGCATGGTGGCAGGCACCTGTAGTCCCAGCTACTCAGGAGGCTGAGGCAAGAGAATCGCTTGAACCCTGGGGGCAGAGGTTGCAGTAAGCCGAGATTGCACCACTGCACTCCAGCCTGGGTGATGGGGAGAGATTGACCCTACGCCCCCAAAAAAAAGGAAAAAAACTGACTTTTTCTGTTTAAATATGGTGGCTGTTTTTTGTCTTTTTGAGACAGGGTCTTGCTCCGTCTCCCAGGCTGGAGTGCAATGGCATTATCTCGGCTCACTGCAACCTCTGCCTCCCGGGTTCAAGCGATTCTCCTGCCTCAGGCTCCCAAATAGCTGAGGTTACAGGTGCCTGCCACCACTCCCAGCTAATTTTTTTATTTTTAGTAGAGACGGGGTTTCACCAGGTTGGCCAGGCTGGTCTCGAACTCCTGACCTCAGGTGATCCACCCGCCTCAGCCTCCCAAAGTGCTGGGACTACAGGCATGAGCCACTGTGCCTGGCCCATTGGCTGTTTTCAAGCAGCTGGGACATACTGTGTGCCCCCTTGGCTGCACTGGTTTGGGGCTGGAAAAGCCAGGGTCTAGAGCTTGCCCACCTATCTCCCCATAAATGCTGACCTGGAGGGCAAACCATAATCACACACAGATAGGGAAGTCTGCTAGACGCTGCAGCTGCCTGAGGGTTTGGAGATGGTTTGCAGATCAGCGTCTATGAAGGCCAGTGAGACTGGGCTGGGGACAGCCATTTGACACCAGCACTCAAGAAGGTGCATGTTAAATCTCTCGTGTATGTCGGTTAACAAAAAATTACAAGATTTTTCTGGACCAAGGGCCAAAGAGTGATGAATGGATGTAAATACTGAACATTAATCTTTCTGATTAAAAAAATAGCACATGCTTATTATAGAAATCTCTGAAAAAAAAAAAAAAAACCAGATGGAAGTTCTCGTCTTCCTCCAAACATCTGCTAAGGAGTGAGGAACTCAAGTTGCCAAGAATACAGTGGTTGACAGCTGGAGGACTTGTAGAAGAGGCTGGGCTAGGAAGGGGAAGGGGCCATTTAGCTGTTGCTGGGTGGGTCAGGCAGGGGGAGAAGAGGGGATTCCAGCATGAGGTGGGCTCCAGCTCCAGGGTACTCAGGCTTGGATTTGTGCTGAAGGTGAAGGGAAGGGAGCAGCAGAGTGTGTAGTGCCCACCCCTCACCTGGGTCACTCACCAAAGCACTGTGAGTAGAGTTCCCTGCGGACAGGGCAGATGCCTGTTTCCCTGGCCTGCCGCTGCTGCAGCTTTAAGTCTAACTGTTCCTGGAGGTGCACCACATCCATCCTGGTGCTGGGGGTGCTGGACACCTGCTGGATCCATAGCTGCGTGTCTTCCACCCACTCCCTGTGGTAGACACAGCGAGGCTGAGCAAAACCTATTGACTTGAGGCTTCCTAGCACATGAGGAGAGAGGGCCCTTTGAGCCCCCTGCCTGAGAATCCTCCATCCCAAGGGGTGTGAGGCTCCAAAGCCACACCCACCATGCTGCCTCCACAGGGACCTTGGGAATGAGTGGGTGGTGGGCAATTTCCACTGTGGCAAGGGGCCGCTGTGAAATCATCCCCCACTGTCCCAGATCTTACCCTCCCAACATGTTGAAGACCAATTTTTGATTGTTGCTTGATCTGAAGAGTAGGAATTACCCACCAATTATGGGGTGGGAAAACAGGACATCATAAACCTTGTGGGAGCCAGAAACAGGCAGATGTGTATATCAGGGGTGGGGAGGTTCTCGAAGGTGTGTGCCTGCATGGGCCCCCATAACAAACCTTGTGCCGGAGGTGGCCAGGCTGTGGAATCACAGGGAGAAAGTTTGAAGGCAGAACTGCCATGGGAAAGAGGATTTGTGTCATTGGTGGGAGGGAATCAACTGACAAGTTACCCCTGTCCTTTGACCTCTATCTCAGAGGAGATGACAGTCTCTCTTTGACTGTTTCCCATTTCCTCATAGACTTACAAACTGTGCTGTCAACTTATTACATAAAAATAGTTGAAAAAGGCATGTCCATGATCAAGGTGGCTGCAGAAGAAAAAGCAAGGAAAGGAGATCATGTTGGGGAAGGCTGCTCTTCTGCAGAGAATTCTCAAGGAAGGCCTCCTGGAAGAAATGATACCGGAGCAAGACCTGAGTGAAGAAATGAAGGGAACTAAGGGAATATCAAGGGAAGAGCATCTTTGGCAGTGAAAACACCAGCTGCCAGACCCCTGTGGTGGGAGAGTGATGAGGTGCTCCAGAAATAGCAAGTGAGGCCCCTGTGGATTCAGCACAGCGAACGAGAAACAAAATAACAGGAGATAAGGTCAGGGATGTATCATAGACCAGATCATGCCACATCTTCCAGGCCATTGTAAGGACTTTTGATTTTAGTCTGAGATGGGAAGCTACGAAAGAGTTTCTGCCAGAGACTGGCATGATCTGACTTATGACTTAGGGGCTGTATAGAGGATAGACTGGAGGAGCAGAGTGGAAGCAGCATTTCAGAGGGGAGGCCATTGCAGCCGTGCGAGTGGCCACCAGTGGCTAGGAGCAAGATGGTGGAAGCAGAGGTGATGAAAAGTGGTTGGATTTGGGAAAGAATTTGAAGGTAGAGCGAAAAGAATGTGACGAAGGATAGGACACGTGGTGTGAGAGTGATCAAAAGGAATAAAAGGGGGCTTGAGTCCCTAGTAAAAAGGAGAAGACAGGGAATGAGCAGACTGGGGGAGGAAGAAATTGTGATTGTTGAAGAAATATGTTGAGTTTGAGATGTCTATTAGATATCTTCACGAAGATAATGAGGAAGTAGAAGACGATATGGCCTGGAGTTTAGTGGACAGGACAGAGCTCTCTCCTCTCCTCTGCACATTTGGGAGCCATCGGCCTATAGGTGGTATCTAAAGCCATGAGATTGGGTGAGGGCATCCAGGAAATGAGGGTAGATTGAGAAGAGGTCTCCCACCACCCTGCCAGGATCCAGCCGTAGGTAAGTTCTAGCAGCTCTGTGATACTGGGAGGAAACCCCAGCCAGGAACAGAGGTAGATTGCCTCCTCCCACACTCCCAAAATCCAGGATGCAAAAGCAGAGGCATTCTCCCAGCCACTGCTCCTACTTTCTTACCTCGGGGGTAGGATGGCATTCAGGATTTCTTCTGCCTGCTTTGTAGGATCTGGGACACACGAAGTTGCGGGGAGCTTGGTCTTGGGTGGTTGTGGGACTGGACCTGAGGGTCCAGGCTGCTGGGGGCTGACTTTCAGTGCCCGAGCCTGAGATGAAGGCACAAGTGAGAGCAGGAAATGGTTCAGGAGCTCAGCTCTACACATCCCCCAGCTCCAGAATGCTCCAGGACTTCTGCACAGCCCTCCACTCTTCCTAGCCACTTTGGATCGGTCTTCTCCGCAGAAATTATGTCACAGAGCTGAAGGAGGCCATGAAGTCTAGTCCCAACTCAATGCTTGTACAGGTGTTCCCGGCACAGGTGCTTAGGCACGTGCTTTCACACCTCTGGTGATGGGGAAATCACTACCTCATCTATTCTTGGACCCAGGTACTATGAAGAAGAGTGAGCCCCATCCATCTCCCTGTGACCTTCTTCCCCATCCTAAATCTGCCCTCTGGGGTCACACCCAACATCTGGGCTTACACCCAACATCTAGGCTTCCTATACAATCCTCTCACCCTCCTTCCCCGACTTCCCAATTCCTTTTACTCCCAGTCTCTGCAATCCCTGTCCCTTGGGATTCCTGACCCTCAATGCAGGAATGTGTCTTTCCCCATCGGAGCTTAGAGGCTCCTTTGTCTCCCGAGCCGCCGTCCTTACCTTGGGGCTCCGTTTCTCCGTGTTCCTGCTCACCAGCACCGGGGTGTCGTACTTGAGCAAAGAGTCTGCGGGGGGAATCATGGCGGCAGCAGGAGCAGCAGCCCAGCAGCGGCCCCCTCCAGTATGGGCCTTGTTTGTCGTCACCATGGAAACCACCCCCCGCCCCTGCGCTTCTTGGCCTGGGCGGAGCTTCAAAGTGGGGCGGGGCCAACAGCCCACGAGTTTCATCCTGTGCCTCCTAGGCAGAAACCTCTGGTGCTTGGCTTCTTAGGCCTTCTGCTCACCGGATCGCCCGTGTACTCTTGGAAGCAAGGGAAACGGCGGTTCGAGTGCTGATGCTGCGTCTAGCTCGAGATTTGAATGAAATGGACAGATCACCTTTGTCGTGCCCCAGTTTTGTCGCCTGAAATACAGGAGTCATCTCCTGACTCCTCATGAAGGGTTAAGGGATAATTCCAAAGGAAGTCATCTGGAGTTCCTAGGTTTTTTGAAGGTTTTTGTTTGTTTGTTTTGTTTTGTTTTGTTTTGTTTTTTAAATTGAGATGGAGTCTTGCTCTGTAGCCCAGGCTAGAGTGCAGTGGTGCGATCTCGGCTCACTGCAACCTCTGCCTCCTGGGTTCAAATGATTCTCCTGCTTCAGCCTCCCGAATACCTGGGACTACAGGGGCGCACCTCATGCCCGGCTAATTTTTGTATTTTTAGTAGAGACAGGGTTTCACCATGTTAGCCAGGATGCTCTTGAACTCCTGACCTCGTAATCCGCCTGCCTCACTCTCCTAAAGTGCTGGGATTAAAGGCATGAGCCACTGCGCCCGGCCTGAAATATTTTTCTAATTAAATGGAGAAATGGCAATGTAGGGGCCGATAAGAAAGTTCCCCTTTGCCCCCTGAAGAGTCGATCAAAAATCAATTCAAAGACAGATTAATTGGAGAAAAGGCATACAAATGTATTTAAAATGTATACATGGGGAGAATCACAGCATGATTACCCACCCTGAAAAGGGTTCAGAAGTTTGTATACCCTCCTGATAAAACAGGTTTAAGGGGGTGAGAGAAGGAGGCATTCTGTTCAGGGATCACTAGGGAGAATGAATGGATAAGGGGACAGAGATAAATTTGTAAATATTTTTTGTTTTATTTTGCTTTGGTTTTTTTGAAGACAGGGTCTCACTCTGTAGCCCTGGCTGGAGTGCAGTGGTGAGATCATGGCTCACTACAGCCTCCAACTCCTGGCTCAAGCGATCCTCCTGTCTCTTCTGGAACCACAGTTTTGAGCCACCAGCCCCTGACAATTTAATTTTTTATAGAGACAGAGTCTTGCTATGTTGGGCAGGTTGATCTCGAACTCCTGACTTCAAGCGATTTTCCTGTCTTGGCCTCCGAAAGCATTGGAATTACAGGCTGCTGCCACTGTGCTCAGCTGTAAATAGCTCTTTCTGACAGTATAAGTGTCTCTGGTCAGGTGTGATTACATTATGAGGAGGAGAAGAAAGAAAAAATTATTCCTTTTGGTAGTTTGGATGTTAGATAAAGTCCTGTGCTTTGGGAGAGACGGTGAGTTCGAGGAAGGAACATCGAGGCTTCTTCAGTTCAGCAAGTCAATGTGCCTTATTTTGGGGTTTCGGTTTCTGAGCCCCAACAGCATGGCAGAAAGTTTAGGAAACAGAAGAGGAAAAGCTAATGATTTGACCACGGGTTCTCAACTCTGATTGCATTTCCATTTCTTTCTTCCTTCTATTTCCAAATGTAAATGTAATTACAGTTTGTGCACAATTTTGTATCCTGCTTTATCATTAACAAGTCTTTTAGAGTTTGTAAATGGTTTACTAATGGCCACATAACACCCATTAATTTGGCTAACTTCCCTACTGCTGAACATTTACATTGTTTCCACGTTTTGTAATTACTAATAACGTGACAACAAACAGCCTTGAGAGGTTTGCTTTTTTCCAGGTTTTTTTTGTGATGTCTCTGTTGCCCAGGCTGAAGTGCAGTGGTGCAATCCCCGCTCACTGCAACCTACGCCTCCCGGGTTCAAGCGATTCTCTTGCCTCAGTCTCCCAAATAGCTGGGATTATAGGCGTGCGCCACCACACCAGGCTAATTTTTTTTTTTGAGACGGAGTTTCGCTCTTGTTACCCAGGCTGGAGTGCAATGGCGCAATCTCGGCTCACCGCAACCTCCGCCTCCTGGGTTCAGGCAATTCTCCTGCCTCAGCCTCCTGAGTAGCTGGGATTACAGGCACGCGCCACCATGCCCAGCTAATTTTTTGTAGTTTTAGTAGAGACGGGGTTTCACCATGTTGACCAGGATGGTCTCGATCTCTTGACCTCGTGATCCACCCGCCTCGGCAGGCTAATTTTTGTATTTTTAGTAGAGACGGGGTTTCCCTGTGTTGGCCAGGCTGGTCTTGAACGCCTGCCCTCAAGTGATCCCCCTGCCTCAGCCTACGAAAGTGCTGGCATTACTGATGTGAGCCACCGCGCCCAGCCCTGCTTTTTTTTATAATTTTTTTTTTAACATAAAAAAATATTTTAACATTAAAGACAGGGTTTCACTATATTGGTCAGGCTGGTCTTGAACTCCCGACCTCAGGTGATCCACCCGCCTTGGCCTCCAAAATGCTTGGATTACAGGCATGAGCCACCACGCCCGGCCAAAGAATACCTTTTTTTTTTTTTTTTTTTTTTTGAGACGGAGTCTCGCTCTGTCGCAATCTTGGTTCACTGTAACCTCTGCCTGGCTGGTGCAATCTTGGTTCACTGTAACCTCTGCCTCCCAGGTTTAAGCGATTCTCCTGCCTCAGCCTCCTGAGTAGCTGGGACTACAGGTGTATGCCACCACGCGCGGCTAATTTTTGTATTTTTAGTAGAGACGGGGTTTTACTATGTTGGTCAGGCTGGTCTTGAACTCTTGACCTTGTGATCCACCCACCTCAGCCTCCCAAGTGCTGGGATTACAGGCGTGAGCCACCGCGCCAGGCCAGAAGTTTGTTTTTGGAACCTGAAACTCCCGCCACCCAATCTGGTCACTGACCACGCTCACTAGGGAGTCATCACCTGTTTAACCTCTCTGCCGCGAAGATTTCTGGGAGCCGGGGCACCCCGGAAGCGGAAATCCAGGAGTCAAACTCGTCATTTCCTTCAGCTAGAGGAGCTCAACGGATCTGTTTTCTTTCGCTCAGGCAAAATCACAGAATGAAGGCAGTGAAGAGCGAACGGGAGCGAGGGAGCCGGCGAAGACACCGGGACGGGGACGTGGTGTTGCCGGCGACGGTGGTCGTGAAACAGGAGCGTCTCAGCCCGGAAGCCGCACCTCCCGCCCACCGTCGTCCGGACCACTCCGGCGGTAGCCCGTCCCCGCCGGCCAGCGAGCTGAGCCGCCCGGGCCACCGCGGGAACCGAGCCCGAGGAGTTAGCCGGTAAGTGGGGAGCAGCCCAGGATGGACCTTGGGTTGGGCTCATTCAGAAAGGCGGGCAGGGCTAGCGTCCGAAACAGGTTTTGAATGCTGGGTGCAGGTAGCCCGGACCTAATCCTGAGGCGGTTGAGAGTGATCCAGTCGTGCCTGTGTTATGCGAGCTCTGTCACTTGCATTATAGCTCGGTGTTCAACGCCTAATGCCTAACCTGCAGGATCCCGCCCCTCCATTCCTGTGTCCCCAGCACTTCGCAAAGTGTGGCCCAGCAGATAGCGCTGATAATCTGTAAAATTGGAATGAGCTTCTCCTCATCCCGAATGGAGTCCGGGCGTTGTCTTTACAATTACCTGCCCAAAAGGTTTTCACGTCGACAGAAACTAAAAAAAAAAAAAAGTTACTTCACATTGATTTATGCGTTCATTCAGCATAGTTTTTCTGAGTGCCTGTTAAGTGTTAAAGACTGCCCCAGGTTTTGGGGCTGCAAGGGTGATTCACTTAGATGGTCTTCACCGTTTCCAAATCTAGCCCTGAGACAGACAATAACAAGAAAAATTAAATAGTTTCAGTTAGTAACAAGTATTTTCGAAAGGTTAAAACAGTAATGTAATAGAGATTGGAGAGAAGAGGGAGGAGGCCTCTCTAAAGAGGTGCCATTTGAACTGCGACCTGACTGTTAGGAATGATCCAGCCTCTGAAAGATCCAGGCAGAGGAAACAACATGTGCAAAGCACTTGAAGTAGAATGAATCATGATTGAAATGGGAAAAAGCCAGTGTCGGTGGACTATAGTGGTCAAGCAGGTGGGTGGTAGGAATGAGATGAAATAGGGAGCAAGTGGAACCACAGGATGGATGGATTGTTAGTGATGGTAGGGGTGTTGGTGGCGAGGGGTCAGGAGTCAAAGGTGATTTCTGGATGGTGATGCCAATTGACAAGATGGCAAAGAGTAGGAGAGGAAAGGTTTTTGAAGGCTTGGGAATTAAGAGCTATGTTATCTAAGTGAGAAGGTTCAGTAGAGAGTTGTCTTTGTGAGTATGGAATGCAAGGGAGATGTTGGGGCTAGGAAAGTGAACCTTGTGACTTTAATGTATCTGGCAGAGACCTTCACAAATGTGTTTGTGTTAGTAGGTAAGCCTGATACTGGAAGCTAATTTTTATGGGGGAAGGGAAATTGAGTAAAATCCTGTATGTACCATGCTCTGTATAGGTCCCCACCCAAAAAGAAAAACAAGTCCTCAGGGAGAAGAAGCAAGTCTCCCCGGAGTAAGAGGACCCGAAGTCCTCACCACTCAACAGTCAAAGTGAAGCAGGTAAGTGGATTGGGGTGTTTTGATGTTGGGGCCACATTGAGAGCCTTTTCCTATCATAGCTAGAGAGGGCTGTGTATGTGTATTGTGTGTGTGTGTGTGTGTGCGCGCGCGCACACACACTTGCCGACATTTCTACCTGTACTTACAATGGGCTTTTCTGAAAACTGGGTATATTTCTTTTTTTCTGCTTGTTTGCTGAAATTCACCTTTTTATTTTGAGATTATTGTTGGTTCACATGCAGTTGTCAGAAATAATTCAGAAAGATATACTCTGCTTGGTTTCTCCCAGTGGTAACATCTATTCATAACAGAACTGTGGTACAACATCACCATCAGAATATTGACATCAGTATAGTCAAGATAACATTTCCTTCACCACAAGGAATACCTCTTGTTCTCCTTTTGTAGCCACACCCGCTTATCTCCCACCTTTATCCTTCTTTAACTTCTGGCAACTTTTAATCCGTTCTTCATTTCTGTAATGTTTTCATTTCAAGAATGTTACATAAATGGAATCATACAATGTGTAACCTAATTTAGGATTGTCTTTCTTCACTCAGCAGAATCCTTCAGAGATTGATTCAGGTTGCATCTCTCAGTAGTTTGTTCCATTT